AAACCAAAATCTCGACGGCGATTTGTGCCGCAGTCCAGGCCCAAATCTCCACGGCGGTCCCCGCCGCGATCCAAGTACAAAATATCACCATGGCGACTACACCCGCGATCCAGGCCAAAATCTCCACGGCGCTCTCCGCCCTGGTCCATACCTAAATTTCCTAGTCGATCTTCGCCGCGATCCAGGCCAAAACACTACATGCCGATCACCACCGAGATCCTGGATCAAATGATCACCGCGATCTCCGTCGCGATCCAGGCCAAAATCTCCACGGCACCCTCCGCCACGATCCAGCCCCACATCTCTACGGCGACTTTGCCCCCACGATCCAGGCGAAGATCTCCCAAGCGCCCTCCGCTGCGACCCATGCGAGAAACCGTCACGACAACTCAGCCAAACTGCCAAATCAAAATCTGCCCGGCGATCACCGTCGCGATCCAAGCCGGAATTTCCATTGCCATCTCCGCGGCGATCTCCGCTGCGATTTCCGCTGCCATCCGATACTTCACCGCGATCTTCGCGGTGAAGTATCCCCACGACTTCACGGCGATCTCCACTGCGATCCAGGCCAAAATCTCCGCCGCGATCCCCGCGCCGGTCTTTACCCAAATCTCCTCGTCGATCTCTGCCGTGATCCATGCCAAAATCTCCACGTCGATCTCCACCGAGATCCCAGATCAAACGATCATCACCGCGATTTCCGTTGCGATCCAGGCCAAAATCTCCACGGGGCCCTCCGCTGCTCTGGAGGAGGTGGGGGAGGAGGAGGAGGAGGAACAGAAGGAGGAGGAGGAGGCGGAGGCGGAGGAGGAGGAGGAGGAAGAGGAGGAGGAGGAGGAGGAGGAGGAGGGGGAGGACCGTACATGGACATTATATTCGAACCCTGCGGCCCAAGATGCCCCCCCGACCCACCAAAATTAATATTGATGGCGTGGCGACGGGGGGGGTGAGTGGACAGAAATATTCGAACCCCAAAGCACCGCCTTTTCTGAGATCAACATTGATGTCGGGGGCGCGGGAGCGATTTAGAATCTCCCTCGAATGTGAGAGGGTTTGAATCTATTGTCCATCTACTGTCGCGCCTCCGATGTGCTGCCAGGTCGTCCGAATGGTCGTCAAGCTTGGCGCGTTGCCGCTTGTTTTAATCGATGGCAAGCGTGTGCGCACCTATTTTTCCGTGACACCGCGATCAGCAGTTTGCCGATAGTGAATAGAGGAGTCGAGGGTGAGCAGGAGGGATCGTGGCAGAAGAAGCCGGAGCAGTCGGTCGGTGGAGTAGGCAGGGGGCGGCCAGCCAGCGGGGGCGCTGTGTTGCGTGCCAGATTTTGTTGCCAGCGCTTCACGCGCGAGTCAGGCGTAGCGTGCTGTCGCTTGTTTGAATCGATGTCAAGCGTGTGCGCGCCTCGACTCCGTGGAACCGCGTTCGGCCGTCTCCGTTGCAGACGGTGGACGGAGCAGGTCAGGGTGAGCAGGAAGGATGCTTCGGAAAATAATCATACATGTAAGAATTCAGACACCGAAATTCAAGACTGAATGGTCCTCTGGTACTTCTTCAGGTGAGCTTCACAAGCTCGCGATATCAACAAAAAACGGTGCGTAATGTTCCGTGGCGCCGATGGCGCGAAATTTTGTATTCCTGGTTTGTGTTTTGGGAACTCAATGTCCCCGTTGCCGAACAGTCCCCCTCGCCCCAGGGCCCCCAGGTTTTCTTTGGAGTCCTGGGCTGTAAGTGGGCGCGCGTGCAGCAAAGGTTTTGTCCATAGCCTTGCGTTACAGCCTCCTTCGAGTGCCCCCCATCCGCATCCTCCTCATCCTTCCTTCCTCTACGCATGTCTCCCCTCTTACATGTTCCACTTGCCATGCGTTTTGCATTGTCTTGCGGCGGATCCCCAGCCCGTCCTAGAGTTGTCCGCTCGCTGCGAGTTCTCTCCGATGTCGTTGATGCGGTGAAGTGGCCGTGCCTGCAGAGCGCATGTCGTTCCTTTTCCCTCCTCTCTGTCGAGGACTGTCTCCTCGACCTCTGCCTTGCCCACTTGCCTGTTGCTTCTTTTGTTCCGTGAGCCACCCAAATCCGGATGCTCGCGCGGAGCTCCGCCTGTGCCTTTGCGTGCAGACACGACTGCGCCTGACTCCCTCTTCGTGGCGTTCCTCTGCCCTGCGCTTCCGGGTTGTGTCCAGATTGTTGGGTGGGTTTTCGAGGGCCGGTGACGTCGCGATTCTCGCCGGCGGCGTCTGGGAATGCCTAGGAATTCACCACCCGCCAAACGACCCCAACCCAACCCGAAGGCTTCAATTTTTTTACATTTCCAATGGGAGGGGGTCGGGGAACATTGAACAAAACACATGGAACCCGTCCCCCCCCAACCCGAAGTTCGGGTCAAATTCGGGTCTTCGGGTTGGGTTGGCGTGGTCTGGTAGGTGGTCAGAAATGATCGGGGAGGGGTAGCAGCACCATGTAGGTGGCGATCTGCATCACAGCGCCTGTGTACACCACAGTGCTTGCGTGCACCACAGCGCCTGTGTACATCACAGTGCCCATGTACTCACTCGGCCAGACGCCCCGAGTGAAAACTGAGTGAAAACATCGATGGACATTTTATGTTGCGAGAGAAAATCCATTCGGAAATCAACTCAGACGGGCTTGCAGAAACTGCAGGCGGGATTGCGCCAGAACATTGACCAAGGGTGCGCCTCAGGGAATCCTAGCGCGAGCTTGGCTAACTTTCGAAAGCTTGAACGCGTCAGAGTGTGACGCGCCTGAGCCCCCCTGACATCTCGCGAGCCGCATCGTGTGACAGCTTACCATTCGAAATCAGGAAACACTGCAAAATATGCAATTGATGTACATGAGTAAGCTACCATACGTTTTTCTTTGATTTGTGTCGAGGCCATCAAACTCTCATTTCCCCAAAAAACCCAAACATCCAAACTCTCAGGGCTTCAGGGTTTCAGGTTTGACTCAAGATTCGGACCCTCGAAAACGATCGCCGCATGGTTTGAAGACTTGATTTTTGGAACAGCGTTGGGTTTTGCATCATTATGGTTTCGAATGTGTGTTTGCGTTAGATTTGGGATGGGGCAATGCTGGGATTATAGACGATGGCAACGCGGGTGTATTTGCGGATTGTAGCACGCACGTGCTTGCGATTCCGGGGGCGCGCTCGTTTCACATGCAATAAGTTTTTGACACTTCACGTATCCCCACCAGCCCATCCAGGGAAAATGCGTAGGCGAGATGCCTTGGCCAGGGAAGTGTAGCAGCACGCAATGTAGCAGCATTGAGTGCAACAAAGAGGGTTCCAAAGAGCCCCGAGAGGGTCTCAAGATGGCCCCAGGGGGCTCCAACAGGGGCCCAAGAGAGCCCCAAGAGGGGTCCAAGAGGGCTGTCTGGGGGCCCTCTTGGAGCCTGCTGGGGCCCGCTTGGAGCCCTCTTCGGGCTCTCTTAGACCCCTGGGAGGGCTCCCAGGGGGGTCCAAAAAGAGCGTCTCGGGCTGTCCCCCAGGACCCCTTCTGGGGGACAGCCCAGGGACTCCTTCTTGGGGCCGTCTTGGCGCCCTCTTGGAGCCTGCTGGGGCTCTCTTGGACCCCTCTCGGGGCACTCTTGGAGCCCTGGGAGTGCCCCCAGGGGGGTCCAAGAAGGCCCCAGGAGGCCCCAAGAGGGCCCCAAGATGGCTCCAAGAGGGCCCCAAGATGGCTCCAAGATGGTCCTAGCAAGTATCAGTTCAAACTCCGTCTGACGGAGTTTGACAAGGGTCTCACTGAACCCCTCCTGGACGCTTCTTAGGGCCCTCAGAGAGCTCCCGCAGGGCCCCCAAAGGGCCCCAAGAGGGCCGCAAGAGGCCCCAAGAGGGCCCCAAGATGGCTCCAAGAGGGCCCCAAGATGGCTCCAATATGGTCCTAGCAAGTATCAGCTCAAACTCCGTCAGACGGAGTTTGACAAGGGTCTCACTGAGCCCCTCCTGGACGCTTCTTAGGGCCCTCAGAGAGCTCCCGCAGGGCCCCCCAAGCCAAAGGGCCCCATGAGGGCCGCAAGAGGCCCCAAGAGGGCCCCAAGATGGCCCCAAGAGGGCCACAAGATGGCTCCGAGATGGTCCTAGCAAGTATCAGCCCGAGCTCCTCCGAGCTCCTCCAAGCGCCCTCCCCAGGGGCCCGGAGCGGCCCCTCACAAATTTTCAAAATCACCTCCGAAAAGGCGATTTTTGAAAGTTGGTGAGGGCCTCTCCAGGCCCCTGGGGAGAAGCACGTTCGGTCCGCGCCCAGCGGTTTCGAAGGACCGCGCTGGAGGCCAGGAAGGAAGAAAACGGAGGGAAAACAGAGGCAGGAGGGGAAGGGAGGAAGAATGGATGGGGGGAGGGGCAGTGAGGGAGGGAGAGTGGAGCATCGGAAGGGGGGTGGGGCAGACGGGGGGGGAGGGAGGACGGGGCCTCGATGGACGAGGGTTGGGAGAAGGTAGAAGGTGCAAGAAAATGAGGGGGAGTGGGGGCCAGGGCGCAAGGCGCCCAGAATGGGCACGAACACACATGCACGTCGAGGCGGTCTTACGATCAAAGATGCGAGTCTGCGGCCCCCCAATAAGTTTGCTGTGTTTCCATTGGCCCCAGGCCCTGCATGCTGTGATTCTGTGGCGAAAGTGAGCCGTCGCGACTCGATGTGTTTCTGTCTGGACTTACCCTGGGGTGCGTGCCAGGACATCCAACCAGATCAACCGTGTTTGAGGTCGTGTGAGGGCGTAGGGTTCGATGCGATTTGATATGTGACATTGATTTCTTTGTTATGCTATGCCATTCGACGCTGCACAATGTTGCAATGCCATGTTATGGTGAGCGGCGCTATACTGTACATCGCTATGCTGCGTTATTGTTTGCATTGCGTTGCACATCATTGCGTTAACCCTCATCGCGTTGCATTGCGCAGGGCAGTCTCGAGCACAGAAGTCCCCCTCATTCAGGTTGCGTCAGGCTTTTGGGCGTTGCCCCCCTTACTGTCGTTAGTATCCGCGACGTCCACATTGCCAGCCTCATCTTCATTGGCAGCATCGCCATCGTGGCAGTCTGTATTTGTAGCCATGTAGGCTCAAGGGTAATGGCCGCGCCGTCGGAGGCACCTGACAAACCAGAGGTCCTTCGGCTTCTGGAGAAATGGCACAAACCGTCCTTGCACCATGATTCTGCAGAGTTGCGCACGCTGGAACGCGTGACTGAATCAGGCAAGGAGTTTTGGAGGAGGCGGTTTGAGCGCAGCATTGCTGAAGCAGATGGGAGGCCGCTTCTGCTGTCGTATGCTGGCGATGGCACAAAACTCCGAACGGTGCATGGTTCCAGCGTCCGGTACAATTGCAAACGTGCCAGGCTATGTGGGCGCCAGTTTCTCGAATACTACGTGCAGCTGTGTTTCCTCGAATTCGTCGACCCCTCAGGTCGCAAGAATGTCACGGTCATGTTTGATGAGCCAAATCCCATGACAGACGGCCAAGGAGCTGCCGCATCGGCTGCTTTCGCTTTGCGTATGATCATGAACCCGAGGAAATACGGCCATGGAGGCCTCATCATATTTCATTGCGCATTTGACCGCGCCTTATTAGCATCAGTTTCTCGCATATTGAAGCAATGGTGGAAAAAGGAAGCCGTCCAACAAACAGATATCTACGAGCATCCGCCGGACATTTTGTATTTGATGCAGTGGTTTGTCGAAACAGGGTGCAGCATGCACGACACCCATAAGTCAATCGAGTGGTCTTTGTGGACGTGGTACCATAACAAATCTCTGATGAAAAACGTGCACTTGGCCATCGAAAGCCTTCGCGATAGCATGCAACAGTTGAGCGGGTTGACTCCCGAGTGGATGTGGGACGTTACGGTCGCTCGCTCCGCCGAGGAACTCGACGACCCAGACGATTTGAAACATTTCTGGTTGGCGATGGGCGTGGAGGAGAGCGTCGTGGCCACCCTGGTCAGCTTGCGCTTGCGGTACTTTGGGGGTCGACTCGAGATCCTTGACACAGGCGATGCGGGCGAGGACACCTTCACCAATATGAATTTCTGCTTGTTCAGCGTCTGGCGCTTGAAAAAGTTCAATGGCAGCAGGTGCGGTTGCGGCCCTTGTCCGAATCAACTTCCCCAAGGAGAAACGATGGGGGCCACGTTAATTTTCTGGGTTGGAGGTTTTGGGCGGCCCAGGGGGCCTAGCGCAATTTGGGCGGGCGGGTGGCGGGGGTGGGTGGGCAGGCGGAGCGGTCGCCAGGGTTATCGACGGCGGCGAATGTTTTTCGGTTCGCGCAGAGGGGGGGCAGGGCTACGGCGTTCCAGGCGCCTGGCAATTCAGTGTCGGGAAAACGGTTAGGCTGGGACCCCCCAGGTGGCATGCTGCAACCCGGGCTTGCCAGATGGGCGTCGGAGCAATATTTGGCGGGCTGCGCGGACTCGCCAAGCACGTGCTGGACCGCCCCAACGCGCAGGACTTTTACTTGGGAGGCGTGGAGCGGCTCGGTTCGGACGAACTTCACTTCATGGTGACGGCTGCTACGGCCAGTTTCCCAGCGGGCGCAGTGATGCAGATGTTGCTCAGAGATTCCCGGGTGGCCATGCACCTGTGCGCTCTGAAGACAACTATTCGTGAGGCGATGGATAAACTTTGCAACTATGGCGATGGTATATGGGGTCTCTTCGGGAGAGTCTGCAACATGGCTGGCCCTGAAGTGCGGCACTCGTCCATTGGCGCGGCCCACGTCGCCATCGGTTTCATGATGTTTCGCTTTGTCTGGAAAGCAGAAGGCGCCCCTTGGTGCATGGTTCGTGGAGACGTTGATGCCAATTTGGACGCTCTCAAACGAGGCCCGATACCGACCGAACCCATCACGGAGCAGATGTGGCATCTGGACAAATTCCCTTGGGGGCGGCGTGTCAACAGACAGGGTGTCGCGCTGCTGGCCGACATACCCTGGGACACGATTGCGGCGGAGCATTTGCACGCTTCGGGGGCGCTCCGGGGCAAATTTCGCCCTGACACAACGTGCGAGGGCCTGATGGCGAGGGCGTTCATGCACATGAGTAAGAAGGTCCCCCCAGGCCTCGACGAGGACGAACGCCGCGAAGCCATGCTACACAATCGTTTGAAGCGCCTCGAGAAAAGGCGGCCGCAAAGTTACCAGGGGCGTGAGCAGTATGTGAAGGAACTCGTTGAGTTGTCCAAGGTCCGGGAGGCAGACGGCCAACGCGGGTTGAAGTCCAAAGACGTCATCAGGTTGCATGGCAGGGGTTGGGAAAGCATGGATCCCGCGAGGAAGCGCGATTACGATAGGAAGGCAAGGTTGATTCTCTCCCAGCAAGAGCAATAAATTGACGAGGCCCGCAACCTGCAGGCGTTCCACAGGGAACGACTCAAAAAAGCTGCAGAGAAGCCGCCGCTCCGGTTCTCTTCCTGCAAACTGGCGCAGGGTGATTTCTTGGAGTGGGATGAGATCTTCAACAGCGGCGCCTTCAGGGATGGTCGCGGTCTGGATGACATGCGCAAGGCAGCCAGAGAGGCGCCGCCTAAGCTCACCAAGACGTTTCTCGATGAGCTCGAGGGGTACGCAGCTGAGGAAGAGGGGAAGCACGACAGACCGCCCTGGTTCCCCGCGGTCGTTCGAAACAGGGAGTCGTTTGCGTCGACCATTTGGGGGCTTCAGACCGGCGGCGAGTGCAAGTATTACAAGTTTATCTTCGCAGCGCAGAGTCCCCAGTTCATCATGTTCGCCCCACTCGGCGAGAAGGACGCGTACTTCCCCGCGCACGTCAGCATGTTTGGCGGCAGCTGGGAAGATGCGTGCGTTTCTCAGTGGCTTCATAATTTCACCTTCGGCGCCTTGGATTTCGCTGCCTGGTTCGACCTTCCCCTACCAGACGACGCAGCCAGCATTCGGGTGCTCCGGAATGCGCATTATGCCGGCGGCTACGATATCGCGTGCGACGACGTGGGGGGGGGGCCGCTCAGCGCGCTCTTGGCGTCGCTGCCGCGCGCCCCTGTCGCCGAGAACAGGAGCGGCGGGGCATCGAGCACGCGCGCTTGGAAGGATGAGTTCCTGAAGCACTGGCCGGGGTTAGCGGGGAAGTTCGAGGAGGAGGAAAGCGAGCGTCGGAGAGCTGCGGGCCGACGGTCAGGCTTGCGCAAGGGAGAGTCGGACGACGAGACACCCGAGGAGCAGCGCATGAACGACGAGGACATCGAGGAGATGATGGAGCATCTCCACGCCGTCCGGGAGGAGTGGGAGTTGGGGCCAGATGCGCCCCAGGATTTCCTCCTCAAGGTACTGGGCGGAAAATGGTGCATGGAGCATTACGGCGTGCCTTTCGACGCTTTCAAGGGCGAGGCGCACGGGGAGATGGCCATCGACTTCGCCGAGAGGTACCTTCGGGGCGCCACCGCACGATTTAATATATCATTTTACACAATACCCGGCGCGCATTTATGCGCGGAGACATGGTGCTGCAAAGCGCAGCATTTTTTTGACCGGCGGCTCGCGTCGGGCGCCAGGGACTATGTTTTCACCGAACAAGATGTCATGGAGTACACTGAAACTCCGAAGTTTCTTCAGCTCGTCGAGGCGGCTACGGACCCGCGGGCGAAGAAGAGGCTTTTGCGGCTCTTGAACTTGCGCCCGTCTGCATAGATGTGGCTCGAATGTCCGTTGTGGGGCAACGGATACCTGTGTCCAAAGGGTTTGTCATACTCCTTCCCCCCCCCTCATTCCACCCTCTCCCCTCTTCCCCTCTGCCTGTTCCTTCCCACCTTCCCCCTCGACCTCCCCGTCGCGCTCCAGCGTTGTCCTGACGCCTCCCCGCCGTAGAACAGAAGCGCCCTGAGGCGTCCCCGTCGTGAGGGGACTGCGGGAGCCCACGGAGGCCAACGGGGGAGGGATCGATGGAAACCAAGGGGGATTGAGGGGAACCGAGAGGGACCGAGGGGGGGGGATCGAGGGGAACCGACGGGGATGATCGAGGGGGACCGGGGGGGACCGACGGGGACCGATGGGGGAGAATCGATGGGGGAGGATCGAGAGAGACCTAGGGGGGCCGAGGGGGACTGAGGGGCACCGATGGGGGACACATAGGGACCGAGGGGGACCGAAGGGGAGCGAGGGGTCGGTTCAACGGGAGCTGAGGGGGAGGACCGAGGGGGGCCCGAGGGGAATGAGGGGGCCCGAAGGGGGAGGATCGAGGGGGAACCGACGGGGGAGGATCGAGGGAGACCGAGGGGGTCGACAGAGGGCGACTGAGGGGGAGGATGGATGGGGGCGGATCGTAGGGGACCGAGGGGGACCGAGGCGGAGGATCGAAGGAGAGGAAGGGGTATCGAGGGGGGCGAAGGGGATCGAGGGGGAGGATCGAGGGAGGCCGAGGGAGAGGATCGAGGGGGACCAGGGGGGACCGAGGGGGGGCCGAAGAGGGGGATCGACGGGAGAGGACCGAGGAGGACGACGAGGGCCGAGGGCGGGACCGAGGGGGACCGAGGGGGACCAAGGGGGATTCTGAGTGAAACTTATGCCGTATTCATAGTGAATTTCCTTCCGGGTTCTGAATGAAAATTCTGCCGGATTCTGAGTGCAAGCTCTGCCGGATTTTGAGTGAATTTTCTGCCGGATTCTTGGTGGATACTTTTTGCGTTTTTGCGCGAGCGGGCACGAGCAGGATCCAGGAAAAGTATTCACTCGGTTTCCTCCCATTTCTCAAAGAGGAATTCGTTATGGTATTCATTCAGGTTGTCTCTCAAGTATTCTGCGTGGTTAGATGCTCGTCGTGGTCCTTGTGGTCCGTGGCTGGGGCCTTCAGTCGTTGGGGCGTGTGGTGTGGCGGCAATCGAGCGCATGTCCTGGAGCGGTGTTTCAATGACCGTGGGTTCAAGCCGAATCCAGCCGTGGCGGCGGGGGTCCGAACGCATCGCCGCGGGGCCCAGATTCTTTGAGTATTTGGGGCCTCTTGGGGGCCTCTTGAGGGCCTCGAGGATTTCAGAAGGGGTGGCATTTGCAACCAATGTTATTCCCCACGTGCTGCTGCTCTTGGAGCCCTCTTGAAGCCCCAGGAGAGGTTGCATTTGAAACAAGTGTTATTCCTCATGTTGGGGCACTTTTGAGGGCCTCCCATTTGAAACCACTTGTATTCCTCATCCTGCGGCCCTCTTGAAGCCCTGGGCGAGGTTGCATTTGCAGTTTTACTCGTGACGCTTCGCGACTCCCCACAAGCCCATCCACGGAAGATGCCTAGGCGAGATGCCTTGGTCTGGAAAGTGGATAAGCTTGCAGTGTAGCAGCATGCAGCGCAACAAAGAGGGCCCCAAAGGGTTCCGAGAGGGGCTCGAGATTGTGATATATGGATATCGCTGATATCGTTTGTCGAGGAATCGCGCGGCGAAACTCTCTGCGTAGCTCTAAGGCCAATGGCCCTAGTTCGAAACGAAACGGCAGCGACAAGGCGGGCGTGAGAGATAGAGCGGGGAAGGAAGGGCACGGGGAGTGAGCGGGAATCACACTCCTCCTGATTGACGCTCGCGGCGCCGTCGAGCGACGATCATCGATCGCAGCTCACTTCATTAATCAGAGCGCTCCAAAACAAACACAGGCAAACGGCCTTGTCGGCATGCTATCCGGCTGCCCCAGGGCATTCAACGGGTGCTGCTACACGCACCGGCAAGAAATACATGGATTCTCAAAGCGAACAGCGGCGCGAGTCCGATCGCTATGCGACAAAACTCAAATAGCGCTATCTTATCAAGATAAAGCCTCAATAGTGTGGTCGTCACCACATAAAAGAAAACCTGTGCACACTGAATAAAGTTTCGAACAATGCGGGCTAGCGTAATCTGCCACAGGATGTGGCGCCAAATGTAAAGAAAACGAGCTGGTAAGACGATTCGGACTAACGTAGTCTGCCACAGGATGTGGCTCCAGGTGTAAAGAAAACGAGCTGACAGAGCGATGCGGACTAACGTAATCGGCCACAGGATGTGGCGCCAAATATAGAGCGGCGGCGTGCGTCACGAAATCTTATTTTGAGCTTTCGCCTTGCCGGGCAGTCCTTGTAGCTGCCTCCATCTATTCTGTAGATCCCAGCGCAGACTATTGCGCATCCTCGAAAAATCTGGCTCATGGGTCATATGATTCCTGCGAAGCCATGACGCATACTTCCTGCACGTCCTGCAGGTGATGTAGACACTATGTGTGTTGCGTCCCACACGTATGTTGTGCTCGGCGGCCACGCATGCGTTCATCTCTGATGGCGAAACCGTTGGCGTCGATCCGTTCCACGAAACCACACTGGCTGACGAGGAACTGTGAACCGTCATCGGGGATGATGGCGCCGAGCTCGCTCGCTGCGCGAAGCTGTCCGGTGATGGGGGCGGTGCGGCTGGCGCTGCCGATCCGCTTGCTGATGATGAACTCTGGGCTGCGACGGCAATCATCGGCGGCTCCATGTAGACATCTCCGTCGACGTCTTCGGGGATGGTAGGCTGTACGTTGTTACGACGTCCAAGGTATCGTCCATCCCATCCTGGATATACTCCGGGCAAGGGAGTGTCCGCGTGCCCGGTGTGGTCGGCCTTGGACCCATTGCTGGTGTTGTTGATGGTCCCGATCTGGATGGGGTTGGGGTCGCCTGGCCCAAATATCTCCTTTCGCACCACAAACCGCAGCGCTGCGAACAATGTAAATCCAATCATGATCCCACTGAGCATCGCAGTTAATGTCATGTAGTAGATCCAATGTGACATCGGCACTTGCCATTCCTGTGGGGGGTGCTGTGCCTTCACGCGTCCGAGACATGTCATCAGCACTGAGGCAAGCATGGCGGCGTGCGGTTGCCTAGTGCCAAAGTTGTACTTCTTGGCCCCGAAGAAAGCGAGGAGCACTCCGGTCTCCATGATCTTGGTGAGCGCGTCGGCGACCATACTCCACGTAGGTATCCACGAGAGCTTCAGCTGGCTGTTTGGGTGCACCGTCTCCTTGATCATTGATGCCGCGATGCGGAACCGCTTGTCCGTGGATTGACCCACGTCAGACTTGATGTGCGTCACCAGGCCATTGCTGTCGCTATAGATCTCCCCGGATCGTTTGGTGCTGAGGTCGTCGATCTGCTTGAGCGTCTTCTTCGGGTTGTAGGCCTCCGTAAGTAGCTGGCCGAACCACGTGCTCGACTCGGCGCCCTCCAGAGTGGCGTAGCCCTCGGC